CTGGCCTCCCCCTCCTGCTCACGTAATCCTTACAGCACACCGCGGCCGCATCTGGACCGGGCGTCGCCCCCCCCCACCAGCCCCTCTACATTACACACACTGCGGGCATTCCCCCTTCTCCTGCACCGGCGCGGCTCCGGCCCGGCACTGGCACCACGAGGAAAATGGGCCACCCGACTCCTGCTCCGGCTCGGCCCGCCGATGTGTGCGAAGGATTTCCGCCAGAACTCCCCGCGCCCCGATCATTTCATCACTCTGGATTAACAAGACACACGGAAAAAAAATATAAAAAAAGGCAGCCTATCGCCGTGGAAACAAGGAAACGTACAGGGTGGATGTTCCAAGCCGCGCTCTTGATTGGTTTTACTGTACCGCATGCAGGGAATCGTCCGGAACGCACGTCCGTTATTCTCAAAATAATTCGGTAAATTACTGGAGCTCGACGCCTGCGAGACTCAGGGTAGGCCAACCCGCAATGCACGCATGCGCTGCAGGCAGAATGTTGCCTACCCACCAGGCGCTTACAGGGCATGCATTTGGCTGAACTTTGTAGTTTCGTAACGTATGCAAGTATTCAACCCGTGCGAACACCTGCATGTTGTACTGTACAACCAGAACAGATCGGCATAAAACACCCATCAATATAAAAAATTGCACCCTCCCTCTCCGTACAAAAAATGTATGTATTTAAAAATATTTGTTTACAGTTTGTGTAAAAGATGTTGTTTCGGCCGCTTTAATAGGTTATTTCTCCATGATAAAGGTATCAATTAGTAAACGATTTTCCGATGTTTTTCAACTGCCGCAGCTCGTTTTTCGCTATCATTAGACGCATGCGTTTTGTGCAGCCCGGTCGGGAGATCACAATCTTTGTTTATCTTCACCAACCCCCTCGTGCCCGTGGGGACCGGTTTCTCTATAGACCGCAGGGTTATGTGCGCGATCCGGAATTATTGTATCAAAAAGCAATATTACAGACTTCGGAGAAGTGCGTCATAGCGTGCGGTGTGGTGCACCTGCAGTTTGATTTACTTTCTCTGGGTCTCGGGTGTGGTGACGCCTGCCTCCCCGCCTCCCCGCCACCCCGCCTCAGACACAAGGTCACCCGCCGCGACAACGTCAGCGGGTCCTGCCCTCGGTCCTGCTCGACCTCCCCCCATCCTCCCCCGGCCTGGCGCGGCCCGTGTGGTTCGACAAGGCGTCAGTGAGTTTTGAGGTGTTTTTTTTTTTTTCCAGGGAGATTGTGGGGTTAAAAAAACAAACGCACACTCTGGCGGAAGACGGCTTGGGTTTGTTATTCGCACACACGATGACATCACATTATAAACTGGCCGGCTCGACTCGGCTCGGCCCGCCGCGGGTCCGTGGCCTACTTCCGGCGAGGAAACGGCGGGGTGGCCCCGGGGTCCTGGGCGACAGACGGGCAGACTCGGGCAAACATGAGCTGAAGTGCGCGAGCGAGGTCCTGGCCTGGCGGCACTCCGCGGGACCTCCTGGGGCGAGGCGGGGCGGGCGACACCAACACAGTTCCACAGCCAAGGCCTCTGCTTGCCCTCCGCAGCAACAGGGTTGGCACGGCGGCGGGGCGGGACGCGTTGCGCGACCATCCGCAATCCGACACTGTAAGATTAATGAAACACTCGTCCTCTTTATGGCTCGCGTGTCGTCGCGCACGAACCTCGGCTCACCTCAGCTCACCTCACACCATCGGCGGCACGCAACATTGCCCCGCGTGCGCGCCCCGCGCGTCCTGGCACGCGGCCGCGCACGCGCGCGGGGCGCCGCTGGACGTGGAGCGGCGCGATCAGAGGGGTAGTACTTGACTCAAACGAAAAAAAAAATATAACGTAAAAAACAACAACACACAGTTGAATACAAGAAAGACATCGAGAAAATAATCAAATTAAAAAGTCAGAAAAAAAAAACAGACAAATAGAGAAAAAAATCCAAAATAAAAAAGTAAAAACAAGAAAACATAGGGAAGTCGCTGTACACGTGCTCGGATAATTTATACCCCCGCGGAGCGACCAGCAGCCCCTGGGCCAGCGTGTTGTTCATTTCTTTATTAACGAGCGCGTGGAATGCGGCCGGCCCGGGTCCGCGCGCGCAGCCCGACGGTAGACCCGACGGCGGCTGCCCTGCGGCCCACTGGGCCGGGCCCAGCAGTACAGCGGCTCGTCTAGCGCTGCTCGTCTAGGCGGGCGGCGGGCTCGCTCCGCTTGCTCCGCTCGGGCGTTGAGGTCTCTGCTCGCTGCTCGGGGCTTTGCGCTCTATCGGGCCATCAGCAGCGGAGGCTTCCGCCGCCGCCGTGGCGAGATGGACGCGGAACGCAGCCCGCCGCACAGCGCAGCACAGCACAGCCCCGCGGCAGGGGCGGTGCGTGCAGGAGCCGGCTAAAAGTGGGCCGCAGCAGCCGCAGCTCAGCCCACCCCGCCGTGCGTGCGTGCGACCGCCGGGGCCTAAAAACGCGAAAAACGGCTGTAGCGCCGACTGCGCGCCAAGGTGCAGCAGGTGGCGTGGGGCGGCGCGGCGGCGGCGATTCGAGGAACTCCTTCCAGTATACGCAGGGGAATTCCCTCCCTCCACGCCACCTGCCACGCCACCTGCATCACCACGCGCGTCTCGAACCAAGGCTCACTGGGCGACAACGCGCTGTGCGTATAGGCAGGCTGCCAAAGAGTCGTGGCATGACTGCATTGGGAAGCAGGGGAAAAGAGGGGGGGGGGGGATCTGCGTCACTGCCACGGGTGCCGATGAGGAAAGTGAAAGTGGGGATCACTAATAAACGATTCGGTGACACTGTGCTCGCGTGTGGTGTCGCTCGAGTCACTCCATTTCGCCCCGTCTGCCACCTGAGCGACTCCTCGATAGACACCCTGAGTGTGTGTGTGTGTGGCTAGCTCTGCACTCGGTCAGCGGTGCAGTGCTCTCGCTGCTGAGATAGGGTAGAGTATCCACAAGGCGGCTTGCGCAAG